CAACCCCCCCTGCCTACCCCCTCGTTTTCGGCAGTCTCTCTCGCCCACGCCGCAGTGACGTGCCCGTCCGAGGCCGTGCTGGCCGCGGAAGAAGCAGAGAAAGCTCTTGCGGACCAGGAGCGCGAGGGAGGGAAGGAGGACGACGACGACGACGACGACGACGGGGGCGGCGGCGGGAAGGGCGAAGGGGACGAGCGACCAGCCGACGCCACCGGCGAGGAGAAGGCGGAGGGCTCCGACGATGGGAAAGAGGGGGTGGCAGGGGAGCCGGCGGCGGTGGCGGACAAGTCCGGTGATGGAACAGATGGTGGTGGCACCGGCGGCGGGGAGGAGGGGGATGCTTCTCAGGAGGAGGAAATCGATGGTGCGAGAGGGAGTGTGTTTTTCGGGGGTTGGGGATCGAATCAGCCCGTATGTATGCAGGACGGGGTTCCATGAAATCACATTTTGCTGTGGGCAGTGGGGGCAGGCTCATTTCTCGGCATACTCGTTGCTGCTCTTTCTTTTGTGTGTTCGGGACAGCGGACTAGCTTTGCCGGCGTGAACCCCAATGTCAAGCAAGCACGTGGGCGGAGAAGAAACAAGACTGCCTGCATCCAAAATTGCACTAACATACCGCGTGGTCGGTGACCCCGTGTGGTGGCGGCGGCAAACATGTTCGCTCGACAGGTCTTATCCCTGTTGCACGAGCTCTCCGTGACACCCCGGCGAGCCACTTGGAACAGAGGTTGGAACTGGCCTGCCAGTTGGTCAAGCAGGCGTACTCGGAATGCCGCAACCTTGACCAGATCATCAAGGCCATCCTTTCGGCCCCGCTGTACAGGTACGTCGCTCGCGTGGGCTAGGTAGGGCTGCGTGGCGCGCACCGTACGTGGCGACAGATATCACCCTCACTGTGGATCGGTTTCCAAACCTCGATCCACGGCGGAAAGATTGGCGTTGCCGAGATTGGCGCGTCTTATGGAGAGCTTTCGCGAAAACGCATCGCTTGATGTGGGCACCCTCTTCGTCTCGCAGAAGGCGTCCAGCTTTGAAAGTCTCTCCGTGGGGGTGTGGTATCCTACGTCACCCACGGTATTTCATGACGCGGTGTCGTTGTGAACGCGGCCAGGATCAGGGTCGGCAGGCATTGATCGTGCCGAAGCGGTGGTGGTGGAGGCTGGGGGCAAATGCCTTTTTTCAGTTGTCGCGGAGATCGGTTTTGTGTTTCGAGGTCGCTCGAGTTGAGACCAGATCCTTCCTCGTTGAAGGCAATCGTTTCCTAGCCGCCCCCGCTTCGCGGGCACGGCCGCGATGGCGATTGCGTGAGGGTGTCAAGGCGGTTCCAGACTTCGATGTTGTTATGCATTCGTTTCTCCTTGATGCTCCTTGCTGCTGCTGCTGCTGATGCTGCTGCTGCTACTGTTGTTGTTTGTGAGGGTCGTCGTCTCTTTTCGTGGCTTTGCTCCGCCACGACGGCTGTGCCACCCTGTCCCTTCGCTTCCCTTACCGTGCCTCTTGTCCCAGTCTTTCTGCCACCATCAACTGCCAGTTAGCAAGCCCCTTGTCGTAATTCCGCCGCAGCCCTGCCGTCGGCACGACCCTCGAAACATCAGCTAGTTCTTGCGGTGCAATTTCTCATTGCGTGAATGTTTCGATTCAGTGCATGCCTAGTCTCTTGGCCTCTTTGCGGCGCCGTTTTCACTCATGCGCTGCTGCTTCTCTGCCCTCTGCTTCCAGAAAAGTAGGAAAAGGCAGAGCCGAGCGAGTTGCCACTGCCGACACCCCGTTGGGTTTATCCGTCCTCCCCCCCTTCCGCTCATTTTGCGCGCCCTCCCCACCCCCTTTGAATCGCACCAATCCGCACCCGCTTCAGGCTCCAGCAGGCATGCAGGTTGACCCCGGGCGTGCCCGTGCTCCCCATGCTCGCCAAGCCCACCAAATCCATCGGGGAGGTGCTGCAGAGGCTGTCCGGCCAGGAGTTCACTTGCGAGTACAAGTGAGTGAAGTGCGAAGTTTCACGGTATACGGAAAGCGTTGGGAGTTCGGCAGAGGAGGATGAGGGAGACAGGGGCTTGCAACGACGGAGACTTGTGATCAATGAGGCCGCTTTTTTGTGAGTTTGTTGGGTATAGATGGTGTGCTACTGGTGCCACATTTTACGATGCCATCAACAATGGTGCCGAGTTGAACGGTCGCGGAACCCGCCGAACATCAACCCGTCCAAGCTATTCTAGGCCGCCCTACAACTTGGCTCTCTCTCTCTCAATATATATATATGTGGATGTTCATTTTGCGGCCTTCTCGGCCTCTCTCTTTCGTTGCTACCTTGCTCTGATCTCATCACGTCTCTTGTGGCCGTCGTCGTCATCGTCGTCTCGCGTCTATCTTCGTTGCGTGCTGATGGGGATGGCGATGATGGCGACGACAATGCCGTCGGTTGTTGTTGTCTTGGCGCGATAATGGTGACACTATCGATTGCTTGCTATGGCCTATTTCCATTTTCCATCCCCAGGTACGACGGCGTGCGAGCGCAGGTCCACCACAAGGAGGACGGGAGCCTGCGGTTCTTCAGCCGCAACAGCAAGGACAGCTCGTCCGAACTCCCCGACCTCATTCCGGTCATGAAGGTACTCCTTTGACAATATAAGTTGCATCGGACACAACCTGGCTTCATGCTTCCCGTCATTGCACCTTCGACTGCCCATGTTTCAATGTTTGCAACAGCTACAAAATGCATGGAAGCTGAATATGCTGCTCTGTGCCGCCCCGAGCCCTGATCTGGGCGACGCTTTCGATGTGGGGGCCTGCTTCTTGTCAGTGGCGCGCGAACGGGTTGTGTTTTTACACCACGGTTGTGGTTTTGGTTTGCGGTGTGTTTCGTGTGTTTTATGTCGATGCGGGGATCGGGTGCATGGATGAATGCCGTTTTGGCAAGGACAGCGGAGCGAGGGTGTCGCCCATGATGGTTGCCGTTTTGGCAAGGGCAGCGGAGCGAAAAGTATCATGAGGCATTGGTGCTTGGTACAGCGCCCGTGACCCTGTTTCTGTTTTGCGTCCACGTTGTTGTGTGTTCCTCTTCCCAGGACTGCGTGAACGGGGGGGTGTCGTCGTACGTCATCGACACGGAGGTGGTGGCCTACGACCGGGAAACCGGGAACCTCCTTCCGTTCCAGGTACAGCAACGATTGGGGGTATTTTAATCCGCTTGTGCAGGTGTTGTGCGAGTTTTGATGTTTTGCCCAGGACAAACAGGCGGTGGGTCGGGTGTGCCTCCAACTGAATTTGGCGGTGTTGGTGTTGGTTAGACTGACCGATCAACAAGCGCATGGTGCAAAGACGAGAGACGACAACAGAACCGATCCGACCTGAACTGACCCGACCCGAACCGACCCGAAATGACCCGACCCGCCCCACACGACGACGAACACCAAGCCAGTTCGATCGCAACGGGACCGCCGAACCGGACAATCAACCTACAGCGTAGCCGAGCTGAGCCGAGCCGCCCCCCCTCCCCCCCCCCCCCCCCCGCCAGATGCTGTCTACCCGCGGCCGGAAGGATGTGGACGCGGAGGACGTGAAGGTCAAGGTCATCGTGGAAGCGTTCGACATGCTCTACCTTAACGGCCAGGTGTGTGGGGTATGCGTTTCTTTAGATTCGCTTCCACCCGATACCGGCTAACTAACGAACAGTGGAATAGTTTGTGGACATGCAGGGTTCTCCCGACAGGCGGGGAGCAGGAGTTGGACAAACTTTGTCCTCTGCCACCGGAATACAAGGCGAAGAATGAGTACCACCAAGAAGGGATTGCTGCCGCATCATCTTTTGTGCCGTGTACTGGGTTGGTCTCTGTCCGGCTTCTCTTTTGGCGATGGCGATTGCTGCTTGGTTTCATGATGTGCATCCCTGCACTCTTTCTAGGACCCTCTCTATCACGTGTGTTTGCGCGTGTATTGTTCCTGTCGTCATCGGCCTCGCTAACTGACTGACCAACGATCAGACGCCTGTCCTCGGTTCGAAACAATACAAGTCTCATGGGTGTGTGTGAATTCCGCGACCGGCACCTGCTCTCGTTTCTGTTGGCACGTTTATGGAGCGTTTCGCCGAGACTTGCACCGGCGATACCTCGCTCCTTTTGGAGCGACAAATAGTTGAAAGTTGGGATGCGGCTGCCATGGACACGAAACAGACGCTAAACCCTGCAGTTCCCTTTATGTTGCTGTTTTGACGACTTGTGAGGGGTCTTTCGACCGCGGCACACGATCATGCACAGAGCGTTTCGAGTCTGCAGTAGTCGCTGATTCCACTCGAAGCAGCTGATGGTGATACATACTACCACATCAAACCCGGGTATCCGTCCCCGTTCTACTCTGAAGGAATCTGCGAACTCCAGCACGATAACGCTCAGGCAAGAGATTTCATATTCCTTGTCTTCCGCGCTGTGCGTGCGTTTGTTGCCGTTCGAACCTGTTTTTTGTGATCGGCAGTCGCTGCTGCAAAAGCCTTTGAAGGAAAGAAGGGGGCTCCTGCGCAGCACTTTCAAGGAGGTGGACGGACGCTTTCGATTCGCCACCTTCATGGATCACAAGGTCAGGAGGAGCACGAGAGAGAGGAGGGGGGGTCTGTCGAACACTTGCGTATCTGCGACAAAGTGTTCCTGTCACTACCTGTGGCTTCACGGCAGGTCATGCCACGGCTGTGATTTGTCAGGGATTGACGCTTTTGCTTGGAAGTCATGCCGCTCTTGTTTTTACCAGACTGGCATCCGACTGTTGCCCGCTGTTCTCTCCCCGAAACAGGAGGACGGTGACACCGGGCCCATCGAAGAGTTCTTGTCAGAAGCTGTCAAGGGGAACTGCGAAGGGCTCATGGTCAAGACGCTTACGGTGAGAAATGCACTCAAGAGTTTTCCCTCGAACTTGGAGGCCTCTTAGGGTTTGGGTTGTAAGCCTCACACCCGTTTTGTTCGGTGCTTTTTATCTACACACTGTATGCATTGCATCCGAGCCGTGCAGGCCCCTACTCTGTGGAAATGCACTACTCTGCTGGTCTCGATTCTCGCTGTGTTTCTCCTTCCGATCGCACCATGTGTGAGCTCGCTCTCAATTCTGCCGTCATGTTGGTGAGGGAGGTTGGTTGGCGGTGGCCCCCCCCTAGCAGACAAGCACAGATCCGCCCCTGTTTCCACCGCTTCAAGCACGTCCGACTTCGCAATCAGTGGCCACCGGATGCCGAACGCACTGCTTCCTCGTGGTTGTGCCGGCAAGGAATCCCTCACGAACATCGTGTGGCCGTCCGTTGAATGCCCCGATCGCGAGACGGACTCAATAGTCGTTGGCCCGTCCTGCGATGCCGACCTCAACCTTCAGCGCGGCGCCAAAAGCACCCACCCCCTCCCGCGACGGCGCGTTGACTGTTTACCATGTCCCGCCTTCTGCTGCTGCTGTTGCAACTGCTAGGTATGTTTCACGACTCCTTGTATTATTTTGTTTATCCCTTGTTCCAGGCAAACTCTTCCTACGAGCCGTCCAAGAGGTCCCTCAACTGGCTCAAGCTCAAGAAGGACTACCTGCAGGGCGATGGCGGGGGCGTGGGAGACTCGCTCGACCTCGTCCCCATCGGCGCCTTCTTCGGGAAGGGGAAACGCACGGGTACGCCTTTGATCCTGATGCTATGCAGCAGCAGCAGCAGCAGCAGCAGCAGCAGCAGCAGGAGCTGCATGTAGGGTAGAGTTGGAAGCACTGCCGTTGGGTGTCCGATTTTGTTTTTGGTTTCGGAACTTCATTGGGGGGGGGTGTATTCATAGTCGTGCATGCCGTAGTCGTTAGATCATTGACCTCGCATCCCTACAAAGCCGGGACGGAGCACGCCGGGTTCTCACCGGACCAGGCTCTCACATCACCAAGCGCGAAGCGCCGTGAGATATTCGGCGAGTCGCATGAAGGGTGCGCTGCATCCTGCTAAGGGTGTTCGGCATCTTGTGCTTACTTCCTTGCGTACGGATGACAGCTGCGTATGAATTAATTTATTTTCTGGTGCTTTCACTTCCAGAGACAGTTGTAAGCACTGTGTAACTGCCTCGAGGGTGCTTGACCATTTTAACACAACGTGGTGCGATCATCCCCCTTGCGCGGAGTGAGGGTTCTCCACCCCGCACAACATGATCTACTCGACCACCATTATGGTTACCGCCAAAAAAAAAAAACGGAGGAAAAAAAAAAAAACGGTAACCTGGTTGCCGAGTTCACGAAGTGAATTGGCTTGTTTTACAACGTCGTTGCCAAGCGACGAAAACCCAATCCCGATGGCAAACACCGGGGGGGGCGGCTTGTTTTACAACGTCGTTGCCAAGCGACGAAAACCCAACCCCGATGGCAAACACCGGGGGGGGCGGCTTGTTTTACAACGTCGTTGCCAAGCGACGAAAACCCAACCCCGATGGCAAACACCGGGAGGGGCGGCTTGTTTTACAACGTCGTTGCCAAGCGACGAAAACCCAACCCCGATGGTAAACACCGGAGGGTGGGGGGCACCGGAGGGTGGGGGATTGGGGGGATGGGAGGCGCGTCCACAGGTGATGGCGTCAAGAAGGGGGGGTACCGCGGCTTGTGGTCTTGACCGCGCACAGCTGGCGAGGGTACTGACGCGACCCGCGACCCGCAGCCCCGTCGCTCTGCAAGAGACCGTAGAGTGACCACGTGGGGCGTAGGCTTCATTCCACCTCTTTGCCGCGATATGGGTTGCTTGTCGTGCTGCCGTAGGGCAGGTGACAACATACGCGTGTGGTTTATAGCACCGACCGCGTACTATTTTTCCTTCTTTGAACAGCTCAGCGACGATACACCAAAGCTTGCACATACTTTTGGGGTCGCCGAGGCGAACCCGGGGTCACGAAATCTTCTGGAGAATGCTTTGGTTTCCGATCAAAGCTATGGCGGCCCACGTCCGAACCAGGGTTCAGGAAAAAGCTGATCATGCAGAGCCTCCCCTCAATCTGTTTCTGACGCCTCTCCTGGGATGCCACCCGAACCTGCTCGTTTTGTTCTTGCGTCCGTTTCGTCAGGCAAGTACGGGGCGTACTTGTTGGCTTGCTACGAGCCCGACCGAGAGGAGTATCAATCGGTCTGCAAGATCGGCACCGGTTTCACCGACGAGATTCTCAATTCCTTCTGGGAGGAGCTCAAGGAGCACACGGTGGAGCAGCGTCCGAGGTGCGCCGCACGACTGACAAACACGACGAAACCATCACGTTGCGTCAGCAACGACTGCAGCAACCATACGGCGCGTATCGTACGCGATTTTTCAATGATATCTGTGGGCCCGAACCCGGTACTTCTTGCCGGCTTGCCGGTGGAGATGTTCGCGCTTTCCCAACTCGCCCTGTTCGTAGCAGAAGCTCGAGCAGGACCTACACACGTCCTGTTGGAGAATTCGCCAGGGATCATGTCTTTCGCCTGCTCGTTGTCGACATGTATGTATTTATGGTGGTTCTCATCGTTCGGGTATACAGATGTATTATGAAAAGGACACCACGGTGATCTCCCCAAGGCGCTCCTTCATCTGAGGCATTTTTTTTACCTGTGCCACGCAGCACTTTGGCTGCACGCTCAGTGCACTCCGTGGATGCCTGGACACCCAGGGCCGCACCTGTCAGAGACGAGCAATGTAGCTTGGTTTTGCGTTTGGTGGTTGTTCTTATTTTGGTCAACACCTGTAGCGGTTTCACGCCGTGATGTGTTCCCCTCACATGATTCCCGGTCCCAAAATGTTCAGGGTTTGTGTTACTTATGTTTTTTTGTGTATTTGGCCCGGGTGGCACGCAGGTACTATAACGTGGCGGACAGCCTCTCGCCGGACGTCTGGCTGGCACCTCACAAGGTACGTCCGAGGTAAAGGTTTCGCATACGAACGGGGAAATCGAATATGGCTGTTGGTCGCACGACTCGAACTCTAGTTGCGTCCGTCGGTCGTCCAGCGTGATGGGAGCCATGCTTTCTTGCAAGGTCTAACTTGCTTGCGATACACCTGGTGGACGGCCCAGGCCGGCTCTCCGCTTGCCCTCGTGACATCACCCGCGATTTGTCCCGACCCGATACGATTCTGGGCGACACAGGTGTGGGAGGTGAAGTGCGCCGACCTGTCCAAGTCTCCCGTCCACAAGGCCGCCATCGGAAAAATCGCGCAGGAGCCCGACCGCGGCATCAGCATCCGCTTCCCCCGTCTATTGCGGGAGAGGGAAGACAAGGACCCGGAGCAGGCCACCACGTCGGACCAGGTGAGAGTGATAATCGCGCTGTGGCATGCGACACGGCGCCTAGCTGAGGATAGGGCTTGGTATGGCCATGGCTTCGTTTTGTCTTGTAAGCCCTACACTCCGTTGATGATGAGGGAACGGCTTTGGACGGTGGTTTTTTGGAGCAGAGTGAATCAACGGGCAAGTTTCACGGACGGCCCAGCTCGGCGCTTGTGTTTGAATTTGTGTAATATTCCTTTTTTGCCCCGTATTGCAATGATCAAACATGAATTCTGGTCGTACCCCCCCACCAATGCTCATGTTGGAGGCTTGTTGTTTCCCAAACCCTCGTAAATACTTAACCGGTTGTCGGCTGGTTTTCGAACAACATGTTCTCTTGCCCCCATCTTTCCCAACTGAAATCGAATGAAATGCGTCAGCTATACTTCTCTTCTTGTGCTTCTTTCGCTCGACAAAGTTCCCTGTCTACCTCGAGGAAGTTGCCGGTGCTCCTGCCTTCGTCATTGCTGTTGCTGCTCTTGGTGCTGATTTGTTGCGCTTGCTGTTGCTGTCGCTGTGTGACTGTTGCTTGCACTCGTCATGTCTTTGGGCCTTTGCCTAGATTCTGGACTTGTATGAAGGCCAAGATGTGGTCAAGAGCAATGCTGCCGGCGGGCAAACGAATAATGCTGCTGACGACGACTGGGAGCTGTAGCTGGTGCAATGGTTTCACGCTCCTGTTGTTAAAAAGCTGGGAGGGGGACAGTCCCCGTGTTTGTCAACGAGAGTGTTGCACACAGGAACTATGGCGGCGATGGCTCGAACGGCCAACAATACCAACACAAGGAGCGTGCATTCTAGCAATCGCGTGCGCGATTTGATGCCTGTCCGCGAAATCTGCTTCAACCGATTCAGGCTACGGCCTAACTTGGATACCTCGCCACTCGGAGTACATAAGAGGCTCCTCCACACAGACAAGCGTTTGTGCTAGAACATCAACTTCCGGCACATTGCACTGGCCCTACGCATACGATTACGGAAGTGATGCCTCGGACGATCTGAAATGCAGATGATGAGTATCATGCACCTCGCGTGAGTGTAACAACTGGATCTGCAGAGGAATATTGTAGTCTGTGGAAACACGTCGCCGCCTTCGCTAGGGATAAGACGTCTACCATACCACGACCTCTGGCCTCTTCAACAATTGACCAAACACGAGCGCAGTATCAACTGAAATGGTTTATGTAACTGAAATCTGCCAGGCATGCCATTGTCGACGCATCTTGGTACAGACGACGTTGCGTTCAGGGTGGGCTCGAGGGGCAAGAGGGGATCCTGCGCACATTTGGAATTTTAATCCCGGCACCAAAGCCAACGCTCCCGCATTAGCGAGGACTCTGGCTCCCCGCACCGAATCACCCGTGGTGAAGGGGGCCGGGGCTAACTCCGTCACCAGAACACTGTTCCTCGGCACTTCCGCGGAACGCGTGGTCCTCCTTCATGACTGATACTCCTCATGATCTCCGTCATCGCCGAAGTCATGCCTCGTTCATAGTTCGGTCATCACTCGGCGACAACCGAGTCATTGCGACGGTCGTGACCGAGCCATTGTCATGATCATGTCATGGCCCAGTCATCGCGATGGAGTCGTGACCTCGGCTACGATCTCAATCATGACCGACGTCATGCAGTGGTCATCCCTTCATGACCCGGCCGTGACCGAGTCATGGCCAGTTCAAGACCCGGTCGTGACTTGCCCATGACTCGTTCATGACACGCCCATGACTCGATGACTAGCGCATGCCTCGGTCATGAGTCGGTCATGACTCGATCATGACTTGCCCATTACTCGGTCATACATGGGTCAGGGCTATGACCTTGTCGGGTGTACAATTATGCCCCCTTGACACACCGAAAACATCCCATGCAGGAAAGAAACGGTAAAGTGTTCCCAGTGTCGAAGCCCTGCCCTGCTTCAAACAGCATCGTGTTCTACCCTTAAATCGGCAACCAATCTATGTACACTCAATGCATTTCTGGTGCTCCTGAACATTAGTCTAACACTGCAATAGATTTTCTGCTTTGGCAGGGGAATAATATCGGCAATCGACCCTAACGCTAACACAATAACCCTGACCTAGACACTAAGTTGGGGTGGTGGAAAAAATCTAGGTTAACGTGCCGGCATTGTCGCTTGGTTGGTGTTGATGAGGTATGGGTGGCCACATAGGTGCCACAGTAGGTTGGTGTGAATACAACACACCTAGACAGACCATCGGGTGGTTGGGTCACGAATGCGGTGACGACATGATCATGTCTCGGTCATGGTCCACTCATCGTAACTCCGTCATCGTACGATCACCACTCGGTAATGACGGAATCACTGGTGGGGTGCCACCGCGTCATGACCATTTAGAATGGCCGAATCGGCTATTCGTGGCGAAGCGAGACACAAGTACTGTATGTATGTATGTCTTGACCGGTTGCTCAAGATCGGGTCACGGAACCGGGTCATGACCTACATAGCTACCTAATCATGGCTGGATCATGATGCGGTCATGATCCGCGATAATAATCTAGTTATGAGTTTGATGATCAAGATCACGGGCGAACCCAACAGTGCCACTAATCAGGTCTGACGCAACTCAATGCTTACATCCTCCCGACGCTGTGGCCCGCAACGGCATAAGCCAAGAGTGCCGGCCTGCCGCTTGCTCGAAACTACTTTCTTTGCTGCCTTTGGAGCAGAGAGGCACTCTTCCCACAGGACGAACACCGGGAATTTTCGCCCTCTTTGAATTTTTCCGGAAGATCCCTGGTGCTCGTCACAGAGACCGAAACGAATGAGACGTTTCCACCTTGGACTACACACTCGTGCCATCGACAATAGTGATATATCTTCACAGACTTCTTACACCCGTAGATTGAGTGCTAGCTTGCTGGCAGATATTGCGCCTCCTCCGGTTGGTGAAGGATCGACCAATAGAAACCTGCTGGTCAAACGCATGACGCGTTCAGCGAATACGGGCAAGGAGGTGTTAGGGGAACTATTGGCATGGAGGTGTTGGCCTACGGAGCAGCGAGTCCCACAGACACAACCTGGTAGCCGGCCTATGCATTTCGTGGGTGTGGCAAGCATCATTGAAGAGGCCACTCGCCTGGTGGCCACGCATTCGTCGTCGGGAACCACGAAGTATCCATCAGCTTTCTTGTAGTGCTGCCTGCTAAATCCAGGAACGGTGAAAAGCAAGCAGGGAGGTACTACTGTAGGTCCGCTTGAGGGAGTATCACGCGGGGTGTCTGAGCAGTGGACAAGTTTCTATGGCGTCTTGCAAGCATTTCGCCGCAGCCGATTCCCCACACTACTGGCAGTTTTGCAAAACCACCCATGGGGCACCGCTGGGCAGCCGATGAACTGCCCACGAAGTGCCCTTCGTGGGTAGTTCAAAACGTAGCAAATCGATACCGGCATATCAACGTAGGGTAGAACTTAGCCACCGGCATATCAATCTACTGTAGAATTTAGCCACCAGAGCCAACCTAGCGTACGTCGGCTTGGGGTTAGGGTTTCGGTTCCGTTAGGGTGTTTGAGCCGTTATTACTGTACGTCCTGCCCAAAGCACATAATCTGTAGGGTATTGGAGTACTCTGATTCCGGTTGAAGGGCACTCTTTGACAGCCCATGGGTTTGTCCGTGGGCACCCCCAATGGGCAACCCGTGAGCACCACCTCGCCCATGGGTACACCGCGCCTGTGGGTACTTCGGTGCCCATGGGCAGCCCATTGGTGCCCCATGGGCTGTTATGCAAAAATATTGAAAGCGTGGGAGACCCGCCACAGCGGGCCTCTTGGGTGCCGAATCTGGGCAGGATACAACGCAATTGATTCTCTTCTAGAGCAGTCGACACATTCGATCGTGGCAGTCCCTTGCCTGTCAACCACTTCGCAGACTGCCACGATGACAGCCATTCCACTCGTTTCACCAAGCGGCCAGTGCTCCGTGCCATCGCTCGCCGCATATCGGAGTGAAACAGAGAGCTTATCGGCCATGTAAACGCCCGTGCCGTAAGCCGCACCGCTCGACATGTACTTGGAGCCTTGATTTTACCCGTAATCGGAGTGTGGAACAAGAAACGTACTGTGACAAGCCATGATCGTTTTCAAGCCATTTGCTTTCCTGCCTTGGCAATAAATTGGGCACTTTCCTGACACGCCGTAGCTGTTAATCGTTTATCGTACGAACGACATATTGACTACAAGCCACGAAATAGTTTGTGCCACCGGTAGTTAAACAATACCACAACTTACATCCACAGATCTTCAGTGCAAGCTTGTTCCGCAAGCCAGGGGTTTCTGTGCCAAACTACCGACAGAATGAGGCGGGCAAAATTCTCACGCTCTGTGGACGAGAGTGCCAACCACCGGGGTAAACTGCACATAAAGGAATCAAGTGGGTGTGGGTCCGAAGCGCATCAACACCATACATACGCTCACCAAGTCCGTATACTTTTCGGTAACCCCCCCGAACCACTCTCTAACCAGCAGTCGTTTTGATGACACGAGGGGTCGTAAATACCGGACATGTTCTTGAGGCCCAACTGGAGGATAGCGTGCCAGTTGTCGGGTTTGCTGCCGTGAAAGGCGAAAAACGAGCCTGTCCGCCCATTCGAGGCTGCCTCTTTCTTCATCCTCTGAAAGTTTGCCTCGCGCTCCGCTGTGCCTGAGACAGGCACGGAAAACCACGTTTGGGTTGTTTGATACAGATTGAACGCAAGATCGAAATCGCTGAGCGGGGTGAGGAGAGTCGACTTGCGGAGATGCGACCCTTTTGAAAGGTGATCTCCGCATCATCCTCACTATCCACAAACGCGTTCTCATTTACAGAACAAGAAGAATGTCGGCGGTACCGTAGAACCGAGCGGTCGGCGGCGAGTCCAGTCATTTCTTCGCTACCGTCGCCAATGGGTTCTATTAGGTTTCGACTGTCCGCTGCCATTTAGTTTTATGGAAGGCGTCATACGAACTAGGACCGGTGACCACCGAACTCAGACCTCTCGTCCTCGACGTCACCTGAGAGCAGGATTAGACGATTGACATTCCTTTTTCGTGGGCATCGATCGTTGTCCATATTGGGCGGGGCCTGGTTTTTACATGAATCATTCGAATTGAAACGACCGTTTGTCTCGAAACACGCTACATACGCTTGCTCCTAGAGGTAGGTCGCCGACATCTGTCTTTGTCTGAATACTCCCACCCCGTTCAACTCGAGTTACGCAATAAAGCCGACAGCCGGCAGGAAAAGAGCTGTTGTAGTGTGGGAACCGCATAGTTCGGCGGAATCAAGATTTCACTCTCGGACTGAAAATAGGGCGCTTCCCGATCCACCCCCTGAAACTCTAGCTTCTTTCCGGTGCCCCCACAAACCTGTGACGAGCATGAACTGCTTCGCGCATGGTATCTCACGAATGATCTCTTCTTCTCGCAACGGACGGAGATGAGCCCGGGTCCTGCAACGACAAACCAAGTTCATTCGGTTTATTCGTGGTTTGTCGACATAGGGAACTGACACAATATTGAGTAATTCGAACCCAGCGTCTTCAAGCCACATGTTCAAATCACATAGCCATGTCTCAAGCCGGCTGGTTCTTTAACCACACCACCACAAAACTCATTAAATGCGGGATAGAGACCACCGACGGACGAATGTAAACTGCTACGGTAATACTCACGTTGATAGTAGCCATCGCAACAATGGGTACGCATACGACAGCGGGTTCCACTCCTCCCTCCCCTTCCCGCCATCGTCAGCCTCTGCATCGTCATATCCCTCGGCTCCGTCGATGCCAACTAGAGAACCAGCAACTACACCTCCCATGGCAGCGTCAGCGGCAGTCTCCTTTGCAGCAAGAGCTTCGGCTGCAGCAGCTTCTTCAGCTGCAGCAATGGCTTCTGCAGTCGCGACAGCTTCGACAGCGGCGATGGCCTCTGCCCTAGCAACAGCTTCAGCTCTACTCTCTGTATCGCCCTCGTCAATAGTATCGGCGACCGCAGCATCAACGGTAGCGGGAACAGAAGCAGCGCCAGAAGAACTCGGTTTGACGCCATCAATGTTGCCCATGTTCCCGTCTGCGACGTTGGCTTCTTCATCCCAGCAGGGACTGGAGCTGGAGCTGGAGCTGGAGCTGGAGCTGGAGCTGGAGGAAGGACTACCGACTTTCCGTTTTTCGGCAATCCTCTTGACACTCCGCCTCATGTCTTCCACAGTTGGGTAGGTCGCGAGTATCTCACGCACCTGGCCGAAACGTGGATCACTGCATCTGATTAGGGTGCCAACTGCATGCAGCTCGTCATGAAGAACTTGCTCTAGTGAAGCCCGAATGATGGCATGTAGGACTGCAAGAACAACGTCTTGGGGCTTGCTAGAAGAAGGCATGCGAAGCGGTCTCGCCATGGTATTCGTCACCACTGACTGTCATTCAGCCCACCTTTTGTTCGTCGCTTTTGTCGCTTTCCATGGCACCCAGCTGAACCTATGGAAGAGCAGAATGCCATGTCGATGGACGTTAACACTTTGTCGAAGAGTCGCTGCAAAGGGGTTTGCGCGTGTACCGTGCTGCTGCTCCCTCTCGCTTCATAACCGCGTCTTGCTCGCAATGCGAGATGAAACCGTGTGGTCTCACGGGCGTGATACACGATATCGGTTCATGTAGTCTAGATATCGCGCTAGCCTTTGGTCACTGCCACAAAATAATTGGGACAGCGATACGCATATCTCCAAGTGCCCCCGGTAGAACGAGTTCTTGTTAATCCCCTATACACTGGCGCCATTTCAGCAACCATCACATTGATGCGACGCGGCAGGTGTCTACGCGTGAGAGGTACCAGGAACATGAAGGATATGATGAGTGACATGCCAAAGTCAGATAAAGAAAACTCTTACAACAAGTCGCCGTACAACGTATCTCACCGTGCTAGGAAACGCAAGCTCCGGCCGGCGACCATGCATTGCCATATAGAACAGATCAATGAGCAAATCGACGGTCTCCCCATTCTTCTCCACCTGCTTCGACGTATCGACGACACATTTTCCGCAAAAAGTCTTCACGAACGATATTCATTTTCATGTGGAAGCCTTCGAAGGTTGGTCCAAGTTCTTGAGGAGGCCGTTGCTGTCGGGATCACCCATGGTTTTGTGTTAAGCGCGTACGGTTGTTATCAGGCCACCATCGCCTTGATCACGTGTTTGAAAATCTCGTTGGTAGCAGAGAAAAATCTCGTTCAGCACTTTACGATCAAGCACGTGTTGACCCTCTGGCGTATCACTTTTTGATCCGGCAAGGATTCACCCCCAACGAACCGAAGTGCGGTCTTAGGTTGAGGAGACTCTATAGTGGATGCCGCCCGCCGAAACCAGGTGCACGAAACGAGGAGTATCGTATGTGTCTACACGATCGAGAACAGGGCATGCCTATACTATCGTTACTTTAGGATTCAGTAGAAGTACCGGTTGGTGAGTTCAAGTCGCACTCCTCTAGCCTACTTTCTTCAGGGTGTGTTTATCATGAGTACGCCTGCACTGCTGGAGTTCACAACCTGTGAATGGACATCTGTGCTGCACCCCATCTCCTCCGAGCTCATGACACACAGTTCCTGTGGGATTGTGAAAGAGGAGAACGTTACCGCGCGGGAAGAAGTAAGCTAGGAAATGAAGAAATGCAACAGCATGTAGCTCGTTGAAGGCATTTGCCTGCATCATCAAAGTTGCACAATGGGGTCGAAAACTTACGTTCTCTTCAGCGGTAGTTAGTGATGTACGGCCGATGGATGGTAGTTGGACAAAGGAGGGAATACCGTACCGTACTAAAAAGCCCCCTGGAAAAACCTCGACTTCCCATTACGATTAGCGGCGAGAAAGAATATTCGATGGGCGGCCTGGTTACCCCTGGAGAATCAACGCCCAGCCATGTCCGAACAACCGGCCGAATCTACCTCGTTTTGTCCCACACACCCTCGTCGTTCTTGATTTTCCATCGGACGTCGTCTTCCCTGCCCTTTCGTCAAGGGTATCCTACCCTTCAATCCTCTACCTTTGGGCACACGATGGGAACTGCCGGGAGGTAGCCCTCAATCGCATCTCCACAGACCAAGCACATCTTGTTCGCGTTCCGAATCTTGGCAATTATTGTCAGCGCCACGCGCAGCTATATTCGTTGGTGGGGATAAGGACGGCAAGGGGGTGAAGCTATCGTTTCCCTTCGAATTGGTTAAATAATTGTTCTATGGTCACGGAAGGTGTCCGCATCAGTTGTACCCACGTGTGAAGGTGCTGCGCAGTGCTCGGAAGGGGAATCCGACGCGAGTTGTGAGGAACCTCATGCATGGAGATCGTGTCGGAAGCACGGGATATGCACGAAAAGCAGGACACGACACATATTCGTTGGAAGGCTGTTTGGATATCGCCCATGGGCAGTCCCACGCAACAAAACCAAAGGAACATCGCAACCCACAAAACTGTCACTATACCCAACGTCTCCTACCAAGAGGTTCCCGTTCGTATCCGCAGCATTCGCGAGCTCGGCTGTTGGGCCCAGCCGCTCTCCTCCTTCATCCTCCGTCGTCAAAGGCGGAGGCGACGGGATAGTACAGGACGACAGCCGCTTCCCGGTCTCAACTTGGCAGACAAAGTCGCACTGTAGCTCTTTGTTTCTCGGATGGACCGCAGCGGCGTGAAGGAGCACCATCTTAAGAAAGCCAGGCAAGAGGGCACGCCGAGTCGAGGTCTTGAAGCTGATTCGTGGGAGTTGTTCATGGAGAATTACCCCGAGGGCTTTCATGCAGGTGATAGCTCTCCGAAGGGAAGATAGAGGCATTATCGCGCCTTCGCTGATTGAAGATGCGATTGGCCATGGTTCTCTCGCTGACCCTTTTGTGACATCTCTGCAATAAATGTACTGAATCCACAGTACTATCAATACCACTTATCGAGAATGTCCACATCAGTCTCACCTGCTCCACAACCTCAAATATGTTCTGCAGTTCCGCCATGTCGAGAAGGAGGTTATGAGCCTGCTGTTCGTCGTCCTACGAGAGAGGGGAAGAGCAGATGGAGATAGTGATAAGTACTCCTTTGCGTATGCAGTTCCGCCGAATCCGACGGTGTCGTTATGCAAGAGAACAGGACCCTTGAGTTCAATGACACGATACGGGAACGAAACCCGTCAATATTGCAGCACCAGGCCGTCGTGGTCGGCGTCGACAAGCTCACGGAATGGTGATATACGTCTATTCACGCTTCTTCCTGAAAAGAGCGTGGCGAATCACTCTGGACAACGTGTGGTAGTCACAAGCTTTGTTGGGCTTGGTGCGTGCACGAGCAGACAACGCATAAGACTGTACTCACCATCAACTCAATCGAGATGCACAGAAGTATGAAGTATAAACACACACAATGACCGGAAACCAAGCACACGGGAGCCATGCCAAGTGACTTCTCATCGCTGTACACCGAGACGGCACCTTTGAAACCTGAAGAGCATACACGGCAAGCTCTTCCACGACGCCGGTACATTCGCACATTCTCCGTACGGTATCCTTGAAGCACTTTCGTTCATCGTTCTTGCAGACCAGACCCTCCTCTCTTGCACATGTCCCCGCATCACGTTCGTCATCAGGGCTTCTGGCACATCGTGGAGCTGGGGGCCAGTTCCGAGAGAGGTCTTCTTCCAGCCTCTTTCGAAGCGTCCATTCGAGCGAGAAGGTGTCGCCGGCGCTACGCGTTTGAGACATGACGGCACGGGAGGGTGTCCGCAGGCCCCGTCGATGGCACACGGGATGATCGTGTTCCAGTGATATCCGAGGTTTCACGATCACAAATCTAACAATTTCGCACAGCGGAAAGCCCCCGAACAACTGAGAGCGACCGGCGTGAATGTTAGAAAATACCAGTGCTCAGTTTCAATATATGCTCCTTTACCTGCCGTCGCAGCGCATACTCCCTTCGACCTTGTCAGGGTGGACCTGTCTCAACCACTTTACTTCCGGGCGAACGGTGGACAGTGTGTAGTGTTGATCGGTCGTTAGCATGACCTGCCGGCACGACCAAATTATCGCAAACAGGTCGGCTTCAATCACAAGAATTCTTCGTCACGAATACTTGTGCCACTAGTTGCGTTCCAAGCAGTACATTCGTATTCAACCAGCGACAATAGCTACAGGCAGACCCACAAACAACATCGTACCAATATGGCGGAAGTCTGGGAGGCATCCAATATTCAACTTTCGAGGTATGCCACGCCGAAACTCTAGCTGAGTCCTTGCTCCCCAACTGGAAGTCCCGTACATGACACCAGGGAAGGACGTTTCACTGAATCGCTGAGCCCTTTACCATCACTCCCTTCATGGGATCCAGACCGAGCGCCTCCACCGTCCTAGAGCTGAGGTGATTGTACAGTCTCCACGGCTGGACAACGACCCACAATCGAAGCTGGTAAGTTGAGCGCGCCTGAACCCTCGCCGCGACACCGTCAAGGCCTTCATTGATCGCCAATGCATCACCGTTTGCGAGATCCTTATGATGTGTGAGTGGGGCAACGAATTTTGGGCGATACCGCTAGTTAAGTTCAAATATAGTAGTTCATTTCTTCACGTGGAGTTTATCTTCTGAATATGGTATGGTAAAATTGATTTTGTTTGACCTTTCTTTGGCTCAAAGTCGACTGCATTTACCTCTTATTCACTCTAAGTCACCCAACACCCGCGGCTAATGGTGATATGACAGTGGTGCACATGCGAAAGCAAAAAACATGTAGTGTTACTGTAGTATGTCGTAATTTCATTTTGCTGACATGTATGTATTCGTGTTTGACCTCACTACGCTCACACCCACAGACCAACGATCCATGTATTCATTCTCCATGCGTCATACGTTGTTCGGATTGGATGCCCTCAAGTGCTGCCACATCCCACATCCACGTCAACATTCCAAGCACCAACTACTCTATTTCGCGGACTCTGACTTATCCAATGAAACATCGAAGCCGACCAATAGTCGTGTCAACATTCCTGTTGCTGTCACCTTACGTCCTCTCATGCAATTCTGATCGATACGAGATGCCTTTCGACATCCCACCTGTACAGTAGCGATTTTCCACAAGTTATATTATTCGAAAGAATGAGTTTCAGGTTGCACGTGCAAAGTGGAATGCAACTTCGTGTAGACGACAATGAGAGCTGCAATGCCTTCCCGACTTCATTCGTCGATACCACCTACAGCATTGTCATCAAACCGGCATATAGGTACCATTCAAAATGGATTATTCACTCTTCCATCGTTCGACGAAAGTCCACCAAGGTCTACCGAAGAATCGATGCTCGACAGTCATTTCTTGCCTCCGGACCCCCGTTCATTTCATTACCAAAAGTAGACACTTTGCACGCATTCGAAATTGGCGGTCGTACAGCTATGTGCGATACCCAACGCGCTCAACCCTGAACTGTAACCCGCCGTTCACTTCTATGACACAATGCGGAGTCATCTTCCCCTGCGAATGGGTGAGAATGTATGACACACACGGCAACACAAGTCTATCACCCCGCACATTTTCTTCCAAGCAGCATGTGTACAATATCTTCCAAGCAGCATGTGCGTATCCCTGTACCCTACAGTAGTTTATGGGAATTGAAATCCTCACAAAACTATGAAAGTCTCGTCGAGGATGTACGGCAACAACGGAACATCCGTACTTCGTCCAGAGCTACATCGTAGCGGTCTCGAACGACGTCCAATGTACCTGCAATCCGACCATGCTCTTCACATCGCACGCAGCAATGATGCACAGAACGTCCCGGGATGCAACCGGTTGACGAGAGCGCAGCGCCCGCCCGAGAAGTTCAGTCGTTCGCATGATATTATAGTCCTTTGGTGGAATGTTTCATGGAATGGACTTCCATTGACGTCCACGGATCGTTCTACGGAAGTCCATCCATGTTCTATGGAATTCCACATGGAAGAATACGGAAGCCCGTGGAAACAGTTCAAAGTGTCATGAAGTCCATGGAAGTCCATGGCACAATGTCCATGGGAGTCCGTGGAAGTCCATGAAGCGTTTCATGATGTAAGGCTATGAAGCATTTCACGGGCGTCCGATCAATATTCCAATGAAGCGAACATTCCTTACAAACATGCCTTGAATGTGTTGGACAAACCAAAGTCCTCCGCCCGGCGCAGGGCACGCACTTTTCCGTGGAAGTCCATGGAATATTCATGGAAGTCCGTGAAAGTTCATGACAAATCGTTAAAGCCCAGGACTTCCACCGAACTACATGGAAAGCCGTGAACGTCCATGGACTTCCATGAAATTTCATGGATTTCCAATGAAACATTTCATGGACGATCATGAGATTCATGTCGTGAAAAAGTTCATAAAATAATTCCAATATGTGTCATGGAACCTTAACGTGTCATAAAACGTTCATTAAAGGGGGCCATGAATGCCCATGAACGCTCACAGAGTGTGTCATGGAGCTCACGGTGAACATTTATTGAGTATTTCATGGGTTTCCATGAGCGCCCATGCAAATTCTCAGGGAAGCCCGGGAAGCGTTTCATGGAAGTCCAAGGAACGGACGCCCATGAAACATTTCATGGACTTCCATGGTATGCCATGGACTTTCGTGGCATGTTCATTGAAGTCCATGCAAGTCCAATGAAGTAATGTTTGTCCATACAATTCCATGAAAGTGCTTTACTGAAATTCATGAATATATTCATAACTCTAAACAGGAATTCCCACGGATCTTATTTATCGGATACCATGTCGGCTTCATGGGAAGTTGACGTGGAAGTTTATTTGTGAAATGTTTGATGGAGTTCCATCGATGACTTCCTCCGTGGATTTCCAAGACACATTTCCCTGCGTCTTTGGACTTCCACGGACTTCCACGGACTTCCATGGACCTCCATGGGGTTCCGTGAACTTCCATAGTCATAGAAGTAAATGGAACTTTATCCACGAAACGAAGCTTCCATGAAACATTCCATGATCGGGGAGCAACGTCGAAGGATATTTCGTGAGCATTTCGTGGGCATCCTTGGGCGTTCATCAACGTTCATGAAAGAGTCTCCAGCAATCCCATGGGATTCCATGGCGTTCCATGGACCTCCATGGAATACCATAACATAGGAAACTCCCATGAATGCACGCTAATGAAACATTTCATGGATTGATGTCCCTTGACCACGTCCCGCGACACATTTCGTGGGCGTTCGTTGGCGTTCTACAGTGCATGTCGTGAAGGTACTGGTCCATGAAATGATTTCATGAAATTTTTCATGAATTGGTTGACGACACGCAATGAACAATTTCAACCATGAGAAGTTTCATGACAAAAATACCGTGAGCATCCAGGAACTAATCACGAACGTTCGCGAAAAATGTCACGAACGTCGATGGAATCCCATGGACTTCGATCGGCCTTCCAAGGAATTCCATGGAAGTTCGTGGAAGTCCATGGGCGATCGGTAATGAACTTCCATGAAACTCCCCAAATTCCAAGAAAATTGCATGGGCTTCAATAGAATGTTTCGTAGAACCTTACATGAAAATTTCCATGGAAAAGTTCGAAAATGCTCATGAAAGCTCTTCAGCCACCAACCGCACATACTTGACACGCTGAACCAGACAACAGATTCATGCTCCTTACAAGTATGTTGAGATGCATAGCTTTTCCGCCACAACGTGCACCAATACTGAGTGGGCTTTTTCGGCGTCCTTTCCTTTCGAACCGGGTAAAAGACCAAGCTGGTAACTACTATAGCTTCGTTGCATACCTACTTTGTTGCATACATACATGCCTAGCAAGGTTTTCGTGTGATTGAGAGCGAAGTTTCTGATTGAGAGCGAGATTGCGCGATGCGCTATAGCTGGACTGCCGCTGAGAGGTGGAGCTTGCTGCGTGACTTGAATTGCAGGCCTAGCCCGTAGCTACAAGCCGATACCCTGGTCATCCTGTGGGCGTCTCTCGTTGTGGAGCTACAACGGGGAGCAGAATCTACAGCGGAGCTCACCGCCCGCGATCAAATCGCCCTGAAACAGTTTGAGGCAGGAATAGCCAATCTGGGGAAATCTAGCAACTTGTCTAGCTCCTGGCTGCAGCATCCGATCGCGATGACACGCATATGCTCGTGACGCTGCTGATGAGACCTTCAATTTGCGCCGCTTCTTGGAAGAGCCCGCCCCCTACTTCCCAAGAAATGGCAAGAGGCGTCTGGACCCGAAATTTCAATTTTTTTGGCTCCCGCTCTTAATCGTATACTCCGCTCTCAATCAGGAGAAAACCCTGTTGCCTTCGTTTCAAAGCTTCGTTGCAGGCCCCAGAACAAATACAACACCTATTGACTACATGCATTGTGGTGCAAACCAATGCAGATTGAGATATATTGTATGTATGTATGTGGTCGCCGAGGGGATTGAGAAAATGAGCAATCACTCTAAAGCGTCAATGTCGGACGTGGAGACGATCTGTTGTGGTTTTCATGCATAGACTAGTCTGGACTTATCATAGAACGCAACATTTTATCCCCGCAAATAGTCTAGACTATGTGTTTTGAGAAATTTCTACTGACCGGAAGACTTGGACAAGGATGGTGTGCAGCAAACTGTTGGACAGGCAGAGGCCGAATTGGGGACACGACGCTGACCTCTCGTCTGTCCCAATGAATGTTACCCAAACAAGACTAAATGGTTCATGGCAGCTGCACAACGAACCCTATGCAAGACAGTGCGGTGGTAACGGAGGGGGCAGCTGCGACAGAACATCATCCGGCGCCGCAACATAAGTGTATGCTGACCCTTTGGAAATTCATTTGCGCGATACGCGTTCAGTTCGCAGAATGTTTCCACACTCCACAAACTCCACCGAACGCATAGTCTACACCTCGCTCGGCCTGCTCGCCTGCTTCAGTGCATGTACTATTATATATATAATACACTACTACTTACTATTATACTGTGTTCGTAGACCTGTAGACTAGCTTTTTTCCTGGAAAGTCATAGACAACTCCGGGCGAGGCAAACCCCACTCACTTGTCCTGTATTCGAGCCCACGACATCTGACCCCTGTCCGTCAGTGTAGTCACAATCGGAGTCATACTCGTAGTCGAAATCGTGGTCGGAGTACACACCGGGCGAAGATGCTTTCTCGGACATATCTCGCTCCCCCCGTCTTCTTCTTGCAGTGTACTCGTGATACGCCTCTTGTGCTACTATATGGGCCGCCGGTATTGTCGCTCTCCCTTTGGACTCCTTGTCCTTCCGATCTCCTGCAAGCAGCGCATATGTGGTGTGATCGGATCTGTTGTGTAGGCACTGGCTCTATCTTCTGCCCGCCTTCTCTGTAGCTCTACAGCAGTATTATTATTAGTACTGTGGAACCCTCATTTTTGTTGTTTCCGTTCTTCTTGTTCTCCAGTCTTCAATTTTCGGAACAGCAGAAGAGAAGAAGTGCTGGCTCTATTCAAGAGCTCCAGCAGTTTGCACCCGCACTCAAGAGCCTCTACTGCTCCAAATATAATACTCGGAGTACTGTGCATGCAGACCACGCACTATTATGGACGTAGACTACTGCTGTGGTACTGTAGTCTATGTCGGCGAGGAGGCTGGGGTTCGTATTTTTATGTTTTGGTGGTTGTGTACACACGACTGCTTTTAGTCTTGTGTTGCATACGGAATCCGTCCGTGATGGGCACAAAGGAGGATTGCTCCCCGTGACGGCCCCCTACCCTGCTCATTGCCCTCACGATTCTTCATGCGAGCAAGAAGAGTGCACGGTCTTCCCTAAAGGTGCACGGACGAACTGCAAGAAACCCTATTCTAGCGCTTTCCATTGCCAGGAGGGGGCCCTACAGGAGGAACGGAAGCGCGAAAACATTTTTGGAGAAAACCTCGCCGTACGTCGAGACCCAAACCCTGACCCTGGGTACTGTTGCAGAAGGTTGAAAGGGTACCAACTACGGTGATGATGGTGGTAGTAGACTACCGGGGCCACCGGCTCAGGTTGGAACGTGAAAATTGTCCAACATTGAAGACATTGTACGCTGCTGGGAGGCATAATGATGCATCATTGTATTCTGATGCCCCATCACGCACCAGAAGAGAGAGTTGCTCGCAGACAGAAAAGCAGCAGCAGGGACGTCCACCTCGCCGTTCCAAAATTGAACACTTGTGCTCGTGTGCTCGCTACCACCACCACGGCGGCGGAGGCTTGCGAAAGTAAAGTGGGGCAGGGAGCGGAGAGGGAGTGACAACAATTGAGCAACCGTTTCTTTTTTTTGGACGCCCTTCTTTGCCGTCTTTGCCGTCAATTGAAATTTTGGCGTTGACAGGACAGACAGGCCGATAGAGATTTTGGCACAACAACAACAACGTATATTGTTGCGGTTTTCATTCTATAACGCCACGCTCTATGCTACTTCAGGACCTACCTGCAAAATACTCCAACGAATAGGTCCGCGGCTAAATACAGAACGGGCCCGCACTTTAGGAAAAATCTGTCGAGAAAGAAAAGCCCAATGTCCACGAAAAATAAAAAGGGCTAGAAAACAAAGAAAGCTCAATCTCGGCCACAGCATAAGAAACGCCTCGATATGAAACGTGAACGTGCGATGCCCTTAAGACATAACAAGGGGGGAGCTGCAGGAGCGTGTCCAATAAGAAATGTCCCACTGCTGCTGCTGCTACCATGCTCCCACCCCCTACCGATAGCTCCTGTCATGTAATTCTTTGGTAGGGGGGGACGACAGCAGTGAGTGGTTATTTGTGGGCTGCGCTACCCATTGCTGCTGCACCGCTGCACTGCCACAACCCCCAACGTTGGCCACACCAAGCCGTCGGTTCAATGCCCATGAGGGCCTGGTGGGTTGTTGTCGTTTTCCTCGCCTGAAACGAGAAAATAGCAGCTTCAGCAACATACGACAGTCCCAAGGAATAAGAAATCGGTTTTAAGATATTAGCCGACTTCGGCTGGTCTTTCTGCCCAAAATAGGAAATTGAGGCTCGACCCGAACTTGACGTTACTCACCTCCGGGCCCGTTCTGTAGCCCCGTCCCGACAAGATGGAGTGATAGCACGAACCTCGTACTTGTACATTGTTCGATTCAACTTGATGTGGTGTTCGCGGGCTAAGTATGGGGAAGGTTGCGTTGTTCTTTGAGGTCTACGCAAGGGCTGCCCGAAAAAGGTTAACCCTCACACCTACCTGTAGTCTACTCCTGCCTGTTAAGGAGGAACATGAAAGCATAAAGGGAAGGGAGCAAGCCCGTTGCTCCTGGCTTATGGTACTCACGGTGGTTGTTTTATTTCTTGTTGTTGCCTCCATAGACCAGGTCCGTTCATCGCCCACTTGGAGAATGAGGGAGCGGGGCTGGGATTTCGACAATCGATCAAGCTATCCAATTTGCTTCAATACCCCTCAACGACGCCAAATATCCATATCCAACGAAAATTCAAAATATCCAACAAGCGCTCATGCAACGTTCATGCAACGCTCAAGCAGCGCTCATACACCATGTACTAGTTGCTCCAGTACTACACCCCCCCCCCGGAAAAACGTACGAAAACAAATATTTTTTCCCCCTCTTGTACTATGTTATTTGATCGAACGTGTAGGAGAAACCACACGACAATCATCCACATTATTATCATCACCTACATATGTAACAACCCTCAAACCAATTTCCAGTGAAATTGAAAGCCCGCAGTAGCATCCCGCCTCTACACGCCCCGCGTGAGCGAAGAGCCCCAATTAAATGCTCGACGGAAAACGCACAATATATACATGTTATGTCATGTGGGTGCTCGCAACTAGCGGAGACTGTCACATTCTACTGTACGCAGTTATCTGCGTATCGCCAACCGTTCCGCCAACCACTTCCCGACATTCTCGCATGCAAGACTGCGCAACCAAAACGCCGCTTCGGGGTGTGCTTACACCCCCTTGAGTGTACGCCCGGCTCATCTCCCTTCTACTCCACGTCCTCCTCTTCATCTCCTCCCCCTTGTCTTCTCCGCCCTTAAAGTCCGACCGTTACCCCCCTCCTTCCCTGTTCCTCGCTGCTCTCTCCCCCGCTTAGCTGAACTCCGAGTCTACTTCTTCTACGCGCCTAGAACACTTTGGCTTTGGTCCTAAGCCACAACAACAGCCTGGGTCAGGCCTACGGCACCCCCTGAGGGTGAGCGGACCATGCTCTCCCTTCATCGTCAGTACATTTTGGTGTGGTAAGCCGTGTAGCGTACGCACGCCGCGGCACGCACGGACACGGCTATAGGGAGCACGCAAATGCATAACACCCTTCTAGACACAGTGCCCCTTTTGCATCTCGGAAAAAGTATCGTAAGGGTTTACATAGGATAAACTATGGCGTTTGGAGGGGGATGGTACCGTCGTACTCTCCCCCCCAAAACATTCTCCCCCAAAGAAAAGATACACACACAAAAGGTCGTGAAAGAGGCCTGCTGCCGTGTTGTGACAGCCAATATCTATTATTGCCCTGTCATATATCAACTTGTAAACGTCAAGGGCGTGCATGAACTCGCGATAAAAACTACTCTACAAATTGCGATCAAGTCGAAATTTTTTGTGCGCCTTCGAGAAAAACGGTGTCCTATGGTTTCAACGACGACCCAAGAGAAAGCTTGCAGGTATCTTTATGAAGCTAAAGTAGCTGTGTCTACCATTCGTCGGGATTTTTCGACGAATTGGCCTCTTTCGCCTCCCCGGAGATAAGAAGGCAAACGAACCGCGAAAGAGTTACCAAGCAAGCTCCCGATCGTCGATAGCTCTCTCGTGGACAATGCGTCCGACATATTCGACCGAAAACAATTGCAAGCAGCTTTCAATCGAGCAGCACGATTGCACTCGAAGGGATGCCCATCTCGCCCAGGATGGTCTCCACCAAAGACACGAAGACGGTTGGCTCGGAAACCACCACCTGGAGGATCGTTTATCCGTCAACGTCCGTACGCGATGTCACACAATGGGGTGCAACCAGCGAAAGTTGAGAATATAGCAGTGGACACGAGGGTATCGGTACCGAGATATCTCGACGGCGAGGGAACTCCCTGTTTTCTCTTCCCGATCCTCTTGAAAACGTTTTTTTACGTATTGATCACGCCAAGCAAGCGTTTGTAACCCATGACGTCTCCAAAAGGAAGCAACCCTCAAATCTCCGATTCCTACGAATGACCGTCATCAGTTTTGTGAAGAACAAAATCGGTTGGTTGAGGTTCGCTGGATGGGGTGTTTGAGTCAAACATGTCAGCCGTGTGAGCTGCTGCGCTGGCAATACGTCACACCGCAGCTGGCCACAACTGTGGCTGTGGGTGGGTCGCGTGCCAGCGTGTATTATCAGCTTGCACCGCCCCTTGAGGTCACCTTGCTCTCATGAGCCCACTTCCGGAGGATCACTTGGGGTTCTCAATGAAATGATACAGACATACATCAGGGGCAGCGGAACAGGCGCTGCGTACGACAAAAGGTTTTTGACAGCAAGATGAACCAATCACCTAAAACACATGTAAGGGGGGTGTTCGTTGCCAGCGAGCTCGGCGGTGTTGAGAGGTGAGAGCGGTCGAGGATGACGCGAAACACCTCAAAAACATCAAGCGCGTGGATAATGTGGCGGTATCTGCGGAAAAGAGTTACAGGAAGAAGCGATCGTGTGTTGGCCGTTGATTTCTCCACGAGTCTGACCTGGAGCCTTCCGGGGGGAGCGTCACCGCCGGCGAGCTCGTCTGCCAGGTCACCGTTCGTTGTCGTTATAATGGTCTTCTTCGTCCTGTTCCTCTGCTTTTAGGTCTCCTCCTCCTTTTGCGGCGCTGCTTGTGTTGGCTGTGCTTCCAGTGACCCTGGGTTGTCGCCGGTCCATCGTGGGGGAATCCTTGTCCTTCGTGCGTGCTGCCTCCAAGATGCCGAGGAGGCTCGGGCCGAACACCTCATCGAGCACCTCGCGGTTGACCTTGCCCCGAGTGAGCGTTCCCGCGACAGTGCTGGGCACCGACTTGCAGGAACGAAAACAGGCACAACAGCGAACGTAGAAAATGCTGAAACGGGCGTCAACCAAGATGGGAATCAAACAAGTAAAACACTTCGAGGAAAAAAAAGCACAGGTGCAGAGGAAACTTATGCCAAGAAGAACAGAATAATAACAGACGATCCATCAACGCACAAGATCTTCCTATTCAATCGTCGGCAAGCAAACAGCACCAGGGTAGAACAAACCGGACTAAGGCCCATGTTTATGGTCACCAAATCTTTGGGAAAATGTCTAAATTTTCAAACATTTGCGGATAAAGATTTCGTTTCACTTTTTATGGGAGGAAATCTTCGGCGAAATATTCTCAAAGATTTCGAAATGGGGCAAAAGTCGCTCGTTTGACAAAATGAACAAAATATAATCACGGGCAGGTTTAGTACAGTACAATACTGCCAGTATTTTCAGTATTGCAG